GGGGGGAAGGGGGGACAATACGGGCTGTGGAAAGTTGGAAACTGTCCAGTGAAGCTGGAACTAGAATCAAGCTCTTTTTTTTTGGGTCCCCTTTTTTTCCCTCTTCTGAGAAAAACTCAGCATTCTGTTTTACAACTTCCATTGCACGAAAATGAAATGCACATTGCACAATGGGACTCTGTGTAGGAGGGTGAAGGAACCAGTGGACGTCCTCCATAGCCAGAAAAGGAGAAGCTCCATTTGTCAGAAGACTCAGAACAGACTAAGGTAGTTAAAGTGCCTTGTCCTAAACTGGGGGGAGAGAGAGGGTGGGGCAGTTTTTTTGGTTTTGGAACATTGAGACCATCTCGTGATTTCTGCATGTCATAACTATCAGGCCTTTTTTTTGTTTCTTTAAACTTTAAAGCCTTTTTTTCTTTGGAAAAACATCTTTAAAGCCAATTTTGACCATAGCCATTTCTTTCCTTCTTTTATTTTTTTCACCTGCATGTCCTTTGGACATGCAATATGCGGACACGTGGACCGGGTGGGGACACGGCCGCTGCTTACACTCAGACCGGACGGGAATGCGCCGCACACGGGTCCCGACATGTGGACAGCACACGTACACCTCTGGGGGAGACTGGGGGCTTTTGCACCCGTGCTTAATTATTTGCCATAAATAAATAAATCGCCAATTGCTGAAAAACGTTCAAAAAACATCCTTCCCAGTCTGGTCTGCCCTGTGATCCTGCCTGTGGCCCTGTGGGGTTGTTTGTGAAGGGTCTCATCTATGGGAGGGCAACTAGGTTGCACCCATGCTTATTATTTGTCATAAATAAATGAATAGTTTGCCGAGAACCCATCCTTCTTTACTCTGGTCTTCCCTTTGATCGTGACTGCCGGTCTGTTTGGTGATGGTCTTGTCTTGTCTTGTCGTCAACAGGCAACAATGATGGGTATGGAAGCTGCAGTTAGAAAACTTCAGAAGTCACTGAAGCACGATGGCGAATCGTACTATGTTCTAGTTGATGGAAATCGAGTTCCGAAGAGCCTTCCCAGCGATAAGGCAGAGCCTGTTGTGAAGGTATTTTTTTCCTTTCAATCATTTCAATGTATAATAATTTAATAAACCAACAAGCAAGAAATGGAATGTGCAATGACCTCGCAGAATCAGTTTGATATTTCTGCTGTTTTCTGAGTATTGCTGCTTGCTAGACTGATTTGCTGAGATTTCTGTCTGCTGTGTGGGTTTGCTGTTTTGTTTGCATGCGTCAGAGTTCCTGTCGGATGAATGCTATGCAGAGTACTAGCCGTGTGCTTGCGCTGTGTTTTCTGTGTCACAGGAGGGGTAGATTAGGAATAAGGAAACCACGAGGGCGAGACTGAAATTGGGACTGGACGGACTGCCGGTAGAGGCTACCGTCTTCCCCTGAACACAACGCACCCTGATTTTGACCGTATCTGGCCGGAAATATAGCTTGTATACATTCATTTCTAGGGTGCGTTATGTTCGGGGGAAGACGGTAGGACGGACTGGGACCAAGTATAGCAGGAGGGTAGTACCTGGCAAGGATTGCCCAGTAGATCGGGGGCAGGCCCAACAGAGGTCCGGTAGGCCCGGGAGCTTACAAAAAGGTCACGACTTGTCAGGCCCGAATCTAGATACCGGGTAGGTTAGATTCAGGCCCTGAAGTAGACTTGCAGGATGTAATAATGTTTTCTTTAATTTAGTGAAAAGGAAGCAACCCCCAGTAGGCCTAGGACCTGGAGAGGCAGCGGTGAGGGCGAGCTACCGTGAAATTCGGCCAGGAGTCACTGGTAGGAAAATAGTATATCATTCGGTGCCAAGGGCGGTAGAGATCTCCTTGGTATATCATTTGGTGCCAAGTGAGCATTGTGCTGCTCCGCACAGAGGGGGAAGTTGGCGGAGGAGAAGGTGGAGGTGGAGGGTGAGGGTGAAGACCTACATGGCTATGGAGTAGCAGTAGTAGTAGGGCTCAGCCGTGGCTGTGGTGGCAGAGGCTGAAGTGCCCCATGCAAGAGGGAAAAGGGGGCCAGGAGAAAGGAGTAGGAGGTGAGGAAGAGACAGATAAAGAGGGGAACCGACATAGCGAGACTCACCTTGGCTGTGGTTGACCTTCATCTTCACTTCTGTAATGACCTGCAAATCACAGACTGAGAACTCGGCTGGTTTCTGAGTTTTGCTGCTGAACTGAGTGAATTGCTGAGATTCTCGTATTCTGCTGAGATTTCTAGGTACGTGTGTGTGTGTGTGTGTGTGTGTGTGTGTGTGTGTGTCATTGCTGCTGCTGCTGCTGCTGCTGCTGCTTCTTCTTCTTCTTCTTCTCCTTCTTCTCCTTCTTCTTCTTCTTCTTCTTCTTATTCTTCTTCTTCTTCTTCTTCTTCTGCTGCTGCTGCTGCTGCTGCTGCTGCTGCTGCTGCTGCTGCTGCTGCTGCTGCTGCTGCTGCTGCT